GTGAGAGACCGTGTGTGAGAGAGAAACTGAATGTGATGGACACACTGTGTGGGAGAGCGAGAAACACAGAGGGTGAGACTGAGGCTTTGTGTGGAGGGGCAAAAGGGGCAGTGTATAAGCAGAACAATAACTTGGAGCCATTGAACTCCGACCAATACCCTCCTCCCACTCCCCAAAAAGCAGGATAATAATCATTGGCACAGAGCCTTTCATGTCAGTAGGACATGAATCTACATCAAAATGAACGTAAGGCCAAAATCTAATTCAATCAACATTCTGTTAACTTACACAGCGTCACAACCCGTCCCACACGTGGCTCACAGAAAAGAAGCCAAGTATGTGTGGGGCACCTCTGTCGGTAGTTATCTGCAGTTCTGCGTCCACAAATTGTGTAGTCAATTAACTTTACATTATGTTCTGAGAAGCACTTTGAGTCGTCTCAACGATCTGATAAGGCGTTACAACAAATGCAAGGATTATTGTTATTTTTAACTGTAGCTTTGCTTCCGTCTTTGCAACTGGCTCCCTCTATACTGTCTCTTTCAAACGTTAAGGTTTGCCACTGCGAGGCGAAGGGAATCTGAACATAAACGATAGGAGGAGTCGCAATACATCTCCAGCAATGAACAAAGACAAAGTATTGACGCGGGGATAAGAGTCAACCTCTCAAGTGAACAAACGTTTATCCACCAGACGCTGACTTTAGACGATTTCTGGTTGCAATTCATCCAGATATATTGACGTGAATCGAAGTGAGTCGAGAATGAAGCAGATTTTCAGCACAACGTATATTATTTGGAATTTAACAATTAAGTTTTTGTGTAAGTAGTGTACGAATTTGGATAAACAAATTCTTTTTCACCTGCTAAATAATTACAGCTTATCGCGGCAGACACTTTCCTAATTCCTTTGCAAGTGTGTTCATTTCTGCTTTCTTTCCAGGTGTCTTGGCTGAAATTGGTGTTTCACAGTCACCTCAGGCCGTGACAGGGAATGAAAATGGAAACGTATCTATGGAGTGCAACACCACTGTGTCCGACCCAACCTTTCATTGGTACACGCAACATGGAAACGGCTCCATCCGGTTCTTGGTTTTGGGAACAAGAGAGATCGATGTGAAGGACAGGCTAAGAGGCTAAGAGCTTTGGCTAATACAAGACAGAGAAACTGCACTCTAAGAATCCAAGACTTGCGAGTGTCAAACACCGCCACTTACTTCTGTGCGGCGAGCACAGTGCTCCGTGTCTAAGAGGGACCTGTACAAAAGCATTCTATGTTTACTGCAGCTCAATGGTTAGAACATTTGCCTCGCGAGCGAGGTCATTGGGTTCAATACGGGCAGGTTAAAATGTTGGTCAAGTTTCGTTACTCCACATGCGTCTCTTTATCCAGCAGTAAGTCGGAATATGGTTGTTGGTTGATTGACGGATCGCTTTTCCGATGGTAATAATTCCTATATATAGAGAAAAAATTTCAATCCACAACTGTTTCAATCCACATTTGCTGCGCGCAAATGGCTGTGATATCTTGCCCATAACACAAGCAGTCAATTCACTCCACGGTACAGACTACCAAATGCTATGTATCATCGAATACGTGATAAAGCACTATATTAAATACGAAGTTTATTATTACTTTTATTGGTTTACTGAGCCGGACATAGGAACCCGTTTGACAGTAGTTTGGATGATCTCTTTTTCGGGTGTAATAATCCATCAACAAAATGGATCACTCGATCAAAGACTGTTTGTGAGACGCTGCAGTATGAACTTGGCTGCCAGGTGTTGTTCACAAAATACACTGTCGATGCACTTTACACGGTACCCTCTGAAGACCGTACAGTCGACTCGGACAAGTGATAAATCGTTATGTTATTTACAAGCGCTTTTACTGTAACTCAAAGATGGGTTTGGATAATCATATGCATGGAAATGGTTTCCACATATGTCAGACACCAGTTTAACAAAAATATATGATTATGTATGAAGGATCATTCCGCGAAATAAATCGCACAACACAGTAACTGGCAGAAAGTATCCAGCCGCCTGCACACACTCAGGGGCTTCCACTTAATACAACGTCCGACCTCGTTTTAACCATCTATATCACAATAATTCTTGACATTTGATACCACGCTTCATCTCGTCTCCGCGATGCCTCACAGCACTGCAGATAATACAGTATAATGTGTCGTGACTGTGAATTTTATGGGCGAAACTCGGGAACCAATTTCACACAACAGTCGCGGTTCAGCGAAAATCGTTTGAGAAGTTGTTATCCCCGTTAACCGGACTAGTTTTTCAAATGTGCGCACCGCATCTTGCACTCTTTGTGAGACAAACCTACGTGCACATGGGCTGCCGCATTTAGTCCACAAAATAAACAGTCACTACAGTTTAATGCATAAATTGAGAAGCGCTATGAGACGTCGCAGTAACGTGAGAAGGAACTACATCAAATGCACTGATTATTGTCACTACAGAAGCAGAGATGTGCAAAATTTGCAGCTTGTGAAGGGACGGGAGGGATTACCTGCCAAAGGTCAGTTGGCATAACCAAGCTTGGACATGAGTAATGGAAAAAAATTAATATTTACATGATCAGAATGTATCCCAACAGAGATTTACCTGCCCCTAGTCTTGTTTCTTGGCCAGTCTCCGCCTCGTGACATGAAAAGTTAACTAATCAGGATGAGTCCTTCAAGGGAACACAAAAGTGGAACTCATGTACAAGCATTGGAGGAACTTAAGGAGGGTGTAACTTGCTCCATGTGTCAGAAACTCGGCTCCACAGAGACACGTCAGTGATGGAAGAGAACCAATGGAGAATCGAGATGGCAGCGCAGAGAAGATGACGAGCAACGAGAAAGGCACAAGGTTTGTACGTGACCCTCAGTCCTGCTCCTTCACAGGATATGGCAACTTTGTATATCATTTCTTATTCAGCTCATCACTGTATATTACTTGCTCCTCCAGCCAACATTCTCCAACTACGCCTTCAACGCTCTCTCAACGCCCGTTGCCATTAAATACATATGACAATGTATATCTTCGTGGCAGCTGCCATCGTTATCTTGTCAGGTAAGCCATCATCTCAATCAACAAGTCTGTATCCCGCAAATATTGTCCAACGCCTATTTTATTGTATGAGATAAGCAAAACACTACAGGACTTGTGCGGTTACAGCGTCCTGTAGCTCAGTTGATATAGCACTCGCATAGCAAGAGAGAGGACCTGGGTTTGATTCGTGGTCAGGGTGAAACCTCAGGTGAATTTGGTTACTACGAACACACGACTCTGTTTCAATAGCTGTAGGAATCCGTTGTAAGTGAATTTGCGAATGGATTTTCATGGTAGGAGAATCCCTACGATTTTCTTCACGATTCATTCAATCAAACCAAGACTGCTTGTGTGCTATTGCATAAATGGGTGCTGCATTGTCCCAAGAAATACAATTAATGTGTTTTCCGTGAAGTAATTTTTAATGTTTCGAAGACACGATGAGTCGTTGTATCACATAGAGGTAATAGTATTATTATTAACGTTCTTATTGTATTGAACGCTGATTTCTGTCTTGTTCCCAGGATATTGTGGAGGAGATTCTGTGACACAGCTCCAATCTGCTGTGACAGTGAATGAAGGAGAGGCTGTTTATCTGCAGTGTAACTACACAGCTACAAGCGGCAGCGATACATATCTGTTCTGGTACCGTCATTATGCCAATAAAGCTCCAGAATATATCCTTAATGCGTACATCAGAAATAACAAGCAGCAACATGCAGACTTTGCAAAAGAACGTTTCTCAACGAATGTGTCTCAAGCGGAGACAACGGTTCACATGAATATACTACAAGTGAGAGTTATAGACTCCGCGGGGTATTACTGTGCACTGAGCCCCACAGTGGCACAGATGAGCGATTCCTCCCTACAAAAACTGCCATGTGGCGTCCTGTAGCTCAGTGGAGAGAGGATTTGCCTCGCATTATGCACGTTTCCGTATTCCACACGCACGAAAATCTGTTTGCCGAGCAGTAAAAGTAGGAACCCGGTTGTTGTTCTATTGGCGAATCGATTTTCGAGGCGTAATAATTCCTACAAAATAATAATATTAATAATAAATTGCACACTCTATCCAGTGAAACACTATGTGATCAATTGGCTGCTGTGTTTCAACCACCAAATATACAGTTAATTAGTATACAGCCTATTCTGTGAAGCGATTTTAAGTGTTTCGATTGCGAGAAATGGCGCTTTATCAAATGCACGAATGCAATGCATTTTACTGTTACTATTGTTAAATATAACAATGCTATATTCACATAAATAACTTCAAAAGTCCAGCTTTCTTGGCATCCTCGCCACGCGTGCATGTGCTTATGTGATGTTTCAATAAGAAGAAAAACATCAAAAATTACCGCTTGAATTTACACACACTACTCACAACCGGGAAAGATAAGATTGGCTGTGAACTGTTTGCTATCAAATGTCTCCAACTGTACACGTGCTTTAGCTACAAACGACCAGCAGATGGCGAACCAAAAACCATCATAACATGAGCTGCAACTTACATAAATTGTCATGTTCTTCCTCTGTAACTAGTTGACTTGTCAGCGATAACAGGTGCTTCCTGTTACAGGTGACATAGTTCCCTCATATACACTGGTGATGGTACAACTGTAGTTTACAAAGATTTGTCTGCCACGTGGCTTTAGTTTGCTCAAGAAGCAATAAAAATGGCATCATTTATATTTTATTGTCTTTCTCCCAAGTAAGCAGCCGCACGTAAATATTTCTCATTTCGGTAACAAATGTGCTTGATTTTGTTAATACCAATATGGTCATTGTTTTGGTTAAAATACAGAAGAAAACTCAAGCTCACTTTGTTCAATTTAATTTAGGTATCTTAGTTGGCAGATTCCTTACTGTGATTCAACAACAACAGCAACAACAAGATTCCACTTATTGAGCGCCTTTCACGTCGGGAGTACGTCCCAAGGCGCTGATTCAATGCTCAACATTAAATTTCCTTTTTTTTAATGTGGCGTTCAATACCTACAATATATATCAAATTAAACCGCACATTAAATGTCCGTTTGTTCAATGTGGCGTTCAATACGTACAACTTACATCAAATAAAACCGCACATTAAATGTCCCTTTGTTTAATGTGCAGTTGGATAGATACGATTTGCACCTATTGAAACTGAGCATTAAATGTCCCTTTGTTTAATGTGCAATTAATGTCCCCCCTCTCCTCCCCCCGCTCCACGACGTCCTCACTCCCCAATCCACCACTAGGCGCCTCCGCTCGTCTGGCACCGGCCTCCACCTTGTCCCCCCCGCCATCCGCTCCACCATTGGCGGTCGCCCTTTCAGCCACTGATACCCCGAAAATCTGGAACTCTCTCCCTCAATCTTCCCGCATTGACCCTTTCCCCCTTTTCAAGTCCCGCCTGAAAATCTTCCCTTCCGACCGTGTCACCTCCCACCCTCCCCGAAGCGGTCAAACTCCACCACTGTTAAGCGCTCTGAGACGCTGCACTGCGTGGAGGTGGCGGTTGTTGAAAAGACGCAATTTGCTCAAGTGTAACGGCGCATTAAAGGTCTCCAGAGGGTAGGGTTCACTGCCCCCCTCCCCCCAACCAGAACTTGTGGAGTCCTGTAGTCCTGTAGCTCAGTGGTTAGAGCACACGCTTTGCAATTGAGAGACCTGAGATCAATTCCAGGCAGAGGGCCAAACCTTGGGCAAGTTTCCTTACTCCACACAGAGCCTAATACAACAACAACAACAAGATTCCATTTATAAAGCGCCTCTCACGTCAGGAGGACGTCCCAAGGCGCTGCACAGTTGGGTCATGACCCGAGCAGGGGGGAAATGGTCAGGGTGAGGGGAGGGAAGGGAGGGAGCGAGGAGGGGGAAGAGTGTCGAGAGTGGAGCTGAAGACTCGGTCAAAGAGAATAATAATCCCTCCAAAAAAAAAAACCAAACAAAAATGATGGTCATTTCCAACAGACGAATGTTTGTGGGACATTGCTGTGCGCAATTGACTGCCGCGTTCTCCCACAAATATACAGTCAATTCATTCGACAGTGCGTTCTGTGAAGCGCTTTGGGACGTCCTGCCGACGTGAAAAGCGCTATATCAAATGCGAGGATTATTATTATTATTATTGTTGCTGTTGTTGTTAATGCAGAAGCCGCGCCGTACAACATGGCGGCCCAGCGGAGAGCGGTGCCGTACGGCGCCGTACGTGCCGACGTCACCGCGCGGGCGGGACTCCCGGCCCTGCGTCATTGCGTCTTCGCACGCGGCGGCCGTCAGCGGCGGCTCCGGATACGGAGAGAGAGAGAGAGAGAGATACCGTGAGGGATAGAGAGAGAAGGAGAGAGAGACGGTGAGGGACAGAGAGAGTGAGAGAGAAGGAGAGAGAGACGGTGAGGGACAGAGAGAGATGGAGAGAGAGACGGTGAGGGACAGAGAGAGAGAGAGAGTCGGTGAGGGACAGAGAGAGAGAGAGAGAGGAGAGGGAGACGGTGAGGGACAGAGAGAGAGAGAGAGGAGAGAGAGACGGTGAGGGACAGAGAGAGAGAGAGAGGAGAGAGAGGAGAGGGAGAGAGACGGTGAGGGACAGAGA